TCTTTGCCGGACATCTCCTTGCCCCGACCCCCCCCCCCCGCCCCATTTTGTTTTCCAGTGGAAAAGCCTACACGTGATGGGAATGTTACATGCACAGTTCTTTTGCAAGGCAAAAGAAATAGATTAGATTTACCTGTTTATTTTGTGGAAGCTCTTTTATTTTACTTTCTCTTTCTCTTGGGTACCATTGCACTTTTTTGAAACTGGTTTTGAAATAATGTTTTGAATAGTTTTTTCGTTCCTTAATGTCTCTTCCAGGTTAAGGTTTCCATCTTCCTGTGTTTTGCTCTTTTGAGACCACAGCTTGCTCCCTTTACAGGGAGCAGGCCACAGAGGCAGTGAGAGGAGCCTTTCATTCCTCCTAGACCTTAGCAAATATTTATAGAGAAGCAGTAATTCCTTTCCATTTTTGTTTGGTTGGCATAGAGAGATGTTACTGGATTTTTTCGTTTTCTAAGATATATCTGAGGATCTCTTGTCTTTTTTTGTTTGGCATCTCTGAGCTGTCTTGTTCTTGGTTTTTGTACTGTTGAAGATGCTGGGGAATTTCTCATGCCTTTATTATTTCTTAGATATGACCAGGATACATTTATTTTGGTTCATTTTGGTTCATTGGTTTGGATGAAATAAATTAATGTTTTTGAAGTCACTTTTTTGATTCTAAAACGGCCAGCATTTTCTCTTGATTCATCTTTCACATTATGCATTCTCTCAGTAGGTGGGGGGTTGTCTTGAAAAAGTTCATGGAAAATGCATACTTTGAAAAACTATGTGTGGAATTCATTCATGCTTTAATTCCATTTTTCTCTTAACTTTTTGAAGTCCTCTTGTAATTTTTGGCATAGATTTTTTTCCCTTTTCTCTGGTGCAATTATTATATTCTCCCTTTTCCTTCTATGTAGACTAAAACTGTTTAAATCCAGATTTGATCTGCTTTCATTATGCTAAGTATGGGTGGGGCAGTGGAAAACAGAGAATGTTCTGATACATTATGAGGCATATATTTTTTTGTAAGTCAGCATTTGTGTATTTCTGCAAAGTATTATTGTATCTGTGTGTGAAGTATTCCGAAGAGACATAGGAATGAAATATGTGATCTCTTTGAAAGCTACTATTTCTGTTGAAAGAACAACAGAAAGTTTTTTCTTCTTGAGGAGCAACATGAACATCATTCATGATTACCATAATTATCAAACTCCTGGTTAGAATAACATTGCAGCCAAATGCAAAGGTGTAAGTGAGACAGATAAGGAGATATTTGAGAAAGAGAAATTTCCAAGGGGGAAGAAGTGTATTCCAGGAGAGTGAAGGGATATCTGCAAAGACTGAGGAGTGGCAACGTAAAAAAAAATACCAAGCAGCTCGACTCCTAGAGAATCTGTACTAGTGAGTAATGAGTTCAGGACTGGCAGTGGAGTATTGGAGAATCTTTCAGTGGTAGAGGGTTTAGTTTGATGGGGTACCACAATGGGTTTTAAAGAATGAGAGGGGGCCAGTCAGTTGGCATGGTGGCTGGATCCTGCATGGCTGACTGGGGGTTTGGGGCCCAGACTTCGCAGTTTGAGAAACGTGGGTTGTGTGTGTGTGTGTGTGCCCCAAATCCTGAGAGTGGAGTGAGAAGGGATTGCGGTGTGGCCATCCTCCCTGAGATGCTTTCTCACTTTCCTCCTCTCTGGCAGGTACACACATCCTATAGCCAAAAAAAACAAAACAAAACAAAACACAAAAAAGTATGATGCATATTGTTCCTGAGGAAGGTTTTCCTGCCAGTGCAGTGTGCTGAGAGTGGAGAGTCTGACTAGAATGCTCTTGGAGAGTTTTTGTAATAAGTTATCGAGGGCCTGACATAAGATGGTGCTTGTGGGGGTAAAATAATAACTAACATTTATTGAGTACTTGCTGTATGCCAGACATTGTTCTATATTCTTAATACGTATTTAACTAACTGAATCTTCATGATAGGGCCTTATAATCATGAAAGGATTTTGGGCAAATAACCATATACCTTAATCATTATAGTGTATAATGAATATTCAGAGAGATACAGTGTAGGTTTGCACTGACCAGGGCTATAGATGGTAGTAAAACACCAGTGTGTAGTTGTGTGTTGAGAGGGAAGTAGGCCAGATCTCAAAAATCTATCTTAAAAAAAAAAAAAAAAAAAAAAGGCAGCCTCATTATTCAGACAATGACCACAATGAAAAACTGTTGAGCGAGACTAGAGGAGGTGATTAGTAACCTTAGAGAGAATTTCGAAAGGAAAGATAGGAACAGATGACAGATCTGTTTTTCATAGAACATGTAGTAGTCTGGTGTGGTATGGTATGGTGCGGTAATTAGAACAGTTCCACCTTCATAACTGGGTTCTACATTTGTAGATTCAATCTCAGATTTTGATAGCTAAACCTGTGGTGGTTGCACCTGTATTGAACATGCAGTCTTTTTTCCTCACTCATCTCTAAACAAGATAGTGTAAGAATTATTTATACAGCGTTTGTAGTGTATTAGGTATTACAAGTGATCTAGAGATGATTTGAAATATGTCGGAAGATGTGCATGGGTATACCTATAGAAGGGCATGAGCATCTGTGCATGTAAGGGTCCTGGAACCAATCCTCCTTGGGTAATACTGAGGGATACTGAATATTGTCATAATGCTTCCTCCAGTTTCATTTTTGTTCACATGTCAGAGCTACTCAGATATCAGAAAGCTCCCTATGTTTTCTTTGAAAAAGAAACAGACCCAGCCACAGTGGCTCCTAAAAAGTACCATTGCTTGGGAGACTGGGAGCCATGTGGTCCTGGGGTTCGTTCTGGACTAATTTGAACACACTGGGGACAGATGTAAGCTCCTGCAATTCAAGCAAATTGAGAGACTGGGCAGGAGGATTGTGACACAAGGAGACCTTTTCAAGAATGCCTTTCTCTCTCTGAAAACTAATTTGTGTTCTAAAACCGATGACTTTATGCTTTAACAGTTCTCTCCTTAAACTTTTTTTGTTATATTTATTTTTTCTTTTATTTTTTCCTTCCCTGCATCCACTGCTTCCTAACTTAATTTTTAAAATTTATCTATTTTTAAAAATCTGATCAGAGAGAGAGAAAGAAGGAGGAAAAGTGAGAAAGCAAGCTACCGGGTCTGGGACACTAACCACGGTTGGCCCTATGGGAGTCCAGCACCCTTAAGCACCATGCCACAGGCCAGCCCCCACCCCTCCACTTTCCTTATTTTTAGAATTTGCCAAAGGACATGTATACTGTAAGGGAGAGGGAGAAAGCACTAGCCCCTCATGGACCGTGGTCATGCTGCAATCTCTTTTCTGTTTCTCTATCCTGGTGGTATTTTGGGCACTCATGCACACATGCGTGGCAT